TAATGTCTGCTTGTTGGACTGCTTTTGTTCATGGGCGTGGCTTATTTTCATCTGCTTACACTCTCATCATCATCATCTGTCACATGAAGATCCCATGTTGTGTGCTATTTCTGCTTAGCCCCCGAGTACAAAGAGATATCAGGCTGCTTTTACCTATGTTGTGTGTTACATGTATGTGTTTAGTGTGACGACCCAGTCTAGAATAACATCAAGTGCCTGTTGCCCCGATACAACAGCAGAAATAAGATAAACAACTTTGAGCTCTTTCTCTCTGTGGTTCTGCCTCTTGCTCTGTGTCTTTATCGGTCCTTCTCCTATAACCTTTCCATTTATTTATTTTGCTATCTTCTACTCACACACAAACAGTCTTTCTACCCTCCCTCAGATGCAAAGCCACTTCTAGCAGTGTCTACTCTACTCCAGTTCTGTGACCTTCAGCCTGAGCTGGCAGGGGGCCTGGGGACTGTGGTGAGCTCGGCTTTCATCGGGTTTCTCATATTGTTGTTACAGTGTGGCTTACAGTAAAAATAACACTTTGCTCCTACCGCAACCCCTCGACCTGGATATAACCCCTAAGCACAGCAGAAAAAGGGGTATAGATAAATCATAACAAAAGGGGGCAGTTAGGAAACCAAAGGTAATATCATGGTACAGCTCTGGACTGGCACTGCGCTTTAATGTTCGATCTATAACTACAATGTGGTGCAGGCCTTCAGACTCAACAACTATTTCCCATAACTAAAGAAATATGAGATTTCTCTTCCTGCCTGTTCTCTCTCCTGTGTTGTCTTATATGGCAGCTTGGTCTATGGCTCAATGAATCACATCATGAGACTGCTGGTACCCCTCTAGAACCATTGGAGGGAAACTGATGGGTCAAATAAACACGTCACTTTCATCCAGCATTCCTTTTCCCCCGTGAGGCAACAACTTTTCTGACAGTTTTTGTTGTTGTTGAAATGTACTATTTATGACTTTACTAATTAACAATATAAGAACATCAGTTATGTGCAAAAGGTTTGATAAAGTGTGGTGCTCTAAACAGATTTCCACAGCAATGCATCAAAACCAATTGCCTGTTAAGTAAATCTACCAGCTCTTTCTTTGATATTTGTCTTTTTGTTAATATAGTGAGTCTTTAAATAGTCTTTCCTTTTATATATAAATAAAAATCACATGGTGGGCAACAAGAACAGAAGTATATTGGCCAAAGAAGAAGTTGACAGTGTGATCAAAGAAATAGGTGGCAAGGTAATGTCGGACAGCAGTTAAAAGACATTCAAGGATGAAAAGTTAAAAAGTAGTAAAAGTATAAAAGCTGTGACTGGAAATCTTTGGGTGTCTCACGATTTGGTTTGGATTTTAATTCTTGGGGGTCAAGAATTTCTTGCTGCTCCATTTGGCATTCTACTGAGTTAGTTAGCATTAGCACTTAGCAGGGAGTGACTGATTAGACACAATTGACACAATCGATTTTTTTGAAGTTATGAAGGTAATAATCTTGATTTTTTTTCCCCCCACCTCTAAAGCCATTCCTTTTTATGTGTATTTTATATTCTTCAGATATTGTGTTGTATTCTTTAACTCAAGCAGCACGATTTGGAGTTAGACTTACCTGATACATACTCTTACTTTTGGATGGTTAAGGACACCATAGGAGCTGCATAACAATTACATTTACAATTTCTTCATCACCTGATACTTTATTAGTGAGTCAAAAATGCACATCGACAGTTCCCAAGGCTGAGCTGACAGCTCTAAATTGTTTATCTGACCAACGATCCCAATTCTAAAAAATAAACAGATTACAAAAAGAGTAGAGAAAACCTCAAGCAATATTTCCTATACCTCAGTGTAGCTCTTTACCACAATGTGAATCGTCAGTTTATCACAGAAAACTCTGTAAATCTGGTTCACACCATTCAGAACAACAAATATAACACACCACCTAAATATAGACCTTTTAAATGCAGCGTGTGAGCAGCAGCAAAAAGGCAGCGCTAATAGAAAAAAATGCTCAGCAGTTTTATGCTAGCAGCCAGTGAGTGTGCATAAAAAAAAAGAGCATTTCACTGAGCTGTTTGTTCAACAGATAAAGGGCACAGAGCAGTTTGAATGCTGTATAATGAAACACTGTGTTCACAATCACATTATAGCTGTTGTGACATGTGTCTGCATTAAAAGCACCAAAACAACGAGATACTTAAGAGGAACCTGAAACAAGCCCTGGGATGTATGCGCATGCTGCACAAACACAAAATTGCGTGTGAGTGTCTGTTTGCGTGTGTTTCGTTTGTAATCTCTTAAAGGTTATAATAAGCCCTGACAGAATATAAGTACGATGTGTGTTCTTATTATGGTGCTACAGCTGTTTCTCTATTCCTTTCACACTTCACTGAGCCCGGATAACAACCTCACCACCGTGGAAGATTTACAAATCTTTTTTTTATGCCTTTGTTTCTCAACTCACATGTGACATCCTTCCACTCTCCCTGTCTCTCTCTCTCTCTCTCTCTGTATTCTCCTCTCCCATTGCTGACTCTATTGACTTCTGACATACTTAGTGTTCCCCAGGCCTCACTAATGGCAACCCTCTGTGTCTCCTGCGAGCACTTAATATTGTCTTCTTTGTTTTTAATGCAACAGCACACTGCAACATGTTTAAATTAGGAAGAATGAAAACATGGCAGAAAAACAGAAGACTCGGGCAGTGTCCTTTTGATTGGAAGTGCTTCTCTTGAAAAATGATCAACCTGCTGTAACTCCAGTGTTAATACAGGACTGTGGTGACAATTCCTCTTGGGGTCTATAAAAGGACTGGAACATCTACAGTGTCTGTAAAGTTTTTAAAGTCTGCAACAGAGATGACAGGCTTTTATTTTCCCAAACAGTGACACTTTGAGAGCATTGCTTCTTGATACTTGTTATGATAGTTGTTAAGGAGTCTGTTCGTTTGATCATACTATAAAAGGGAAAAGGTCTTGCATAAAGAAAGACGTAACACCTGTCCCATGGCACACAAGAAAATGCAGATGTGTAAGAAATTCTCACTCAAGCCCTATTCAGACTGTCGTTTTAAGCATCGATAGTTACGCCCTTGTGACGTCTCGCCTTCGATCTGAAAGTTGCGCAGTCGTAATGAGGGGACAAAGTGAACTACCCTCTGAACTGTCTTCAGAGGTAGTAACAGAGGTGAGACGATTAGAGCCAGCTGGGGAGCTTCTGCTGTGCTGGGCTTCCGCATACAGACTGGGACACCAATATTACACCATCATGGAATCAATATGAATGTACAAAGATGTGATGACGAATGAGCTTAGTAACGGCACTTTTGTGAAAAAAAGCTCAGTCTGTAAGGGCTTCCTATTGACTAAATGTGATCTCATTCTGCAGCACTCTCATGACAAATGGTACTATTTGTCATAATCGCCTCACAGTCAGCCATCACCTCCTCAGACGTCTGCATTTATTACTCTCGCTGGCACCAACTCTTTGAGATTGAAGAGAGGATAAAAAGGAAAGCTTCCATTTTTGTTGAGAGTGATGGCTGTAGTATCTTTAAGATACCTGATCTGTGAGGTTAAGGCCGAGTTTCATGTGTTGGATGTTACATTTCTGGTGTTTAACCTTCTCTGCTGTGCTAAATAACACTTTGCATAGATTTGCCATGGTTTGCAGCTGTAGCCGTGCAGGCCTTCAAACTGTTCAAGTGGTTGTTGTTTTTAGCACAAGTGTAGTCTTAACTTTTAGTTTTGCGGTTGTACTTTTTTTTCCAATTCATAACCTGTTGTTACTAAAACAGAAATGGTGCTTGTGCAGCACAGAACAGACTGAGCACATTGACTCACATACTAAACAGAATAAGAGCATCAGGGGTTTGCATGATAGTAGATGTAGTCAATAATATTCACAAATGCAGTGTTTTTTTCGTGTCTCATTCTTCCCCCAGAACCAATCTGTAAATCCTCTCACATGTGAAACAGATACACACTGATATAAATGAAAGTGTTAGGACATTTTGATCTAAGTAAAACCAAAGGATCACATCATTATTGTTTTTGTCAATTTTGCAGCAAACACTTTGTCTAAATGTTCTAGGCACAGGCACAGCACTTACTGAGAGTAACGTACACAAGCCCACAAAAATAGCCCCAAAGTTGATAATAAGTCCAAGGTTAGAACTTTCTTATTGCAGCTGAAGGTCTATACTGAACCAGTAATTCATTTTCACAGACAGAGGCTATAAGCATGCAGTTTGAAACTGCAGCAACAAGTTAGATTGCCTATATGGTTTACTTAACTTCCACATGCATCAAAACTGCATCTGTTTCTCTGAAAGGCAAATATCCATCCCTTTTATGAACAGTTGTACTTGAAACATGCATCATACATGTAATCAACTGTCATCATAACCTACTGTCATGAAAAACTGAGGCAACAGAACTCTGTTTTCAATCTGAACTCTTCTTACATTAACAACATATAAAATAATATTTAATGGTTATGCCGTAAACTGTAATACAAGGATATCTTTCAACAAGTTCCATTTCTTTAACAGCATCAATATTTTGTAATTTGTTTGTTTTTTGTAGGGGATGATCTCCTCTTACAGGCAGGGAGTTTTTTTTTGTAATTCGCATAAGGAATCATTTTTTATTTTTTTTTAAGGCACAAATAATTGAAGAGACAGCTACATTGACAGCTTTCAAAAACACAAACAAATTGGCTATTTATGTATTTATAATGGAAACATCTACACAAAATGAATTGTATTAGGTATTTCATCGTTAAATCAAAATGTAACAAGTCCTCCGACAGAATCAAGATGGTGACCACAACTGACTTTTCTTGGAAATATCCCTCTACAAATGTTACTTTTAGAAGTTCACACTTTTTGAATGCAGAAGTTTTTTTCTTTGTTTGACATCTCCTATTGTTATGAATCAGAATGAAAATTGTTTCTGGATCAAGATAACAGAAAGTAAAGAAGGATACTCTACCTGAGAGTCTGATCAGGGTTTTTCCAGCCTGGGCGTACTGCCAGCTGTGGTTATCCAGCACCGCCATTGTAGACCAAAACTAGCTCTCTACAGTCCCAATCAATTGTTGCCTACATTATGCTCTACATGAGTCCATAGCGGTTATCAGCTCCAGCTTTCTAACCGAACCATTGTTGTATTGCGAGGAGCCAACTGAACAACAGCTTTGCCATACATGGGCCAACGCCCTGCCACCCATCGAGCTGCAGAAAGCCAAAGGCGCTGCCAGCTCCTTTTTTTGACTTCACCAACTGGCTTCTTTATTTTGCTGCCCCCCCCCCCCACCCCCCACGATGTCACTAACCCCTCCCCAAAACAAGATTTAGTGACAAGTGCTGATTTGCATTAAACAGTTTCTCACATGTGTGGCTGGCTAGCTACTCAGAGGGGAAAAAAAGTTAAGCCAGCCAAACAGTTGTCGCTGGTGGATTTGCGGGTGAAATAGGCTTTAATAATGATTGGTTGTAATCTTCTCTCTGACTAAAGCTTTGACTCAGACAGTGACTGTGAGCTTTTGCACCGGGTACTTTAAGGACCCCTTAATGTAAATAATGTCAGCCTTATTATCCTAAGAGCACAGAGAGTATTTACATCAAGATTCATCTGCTTTCATTCAAACCTGCAACATACGGCAGGTTTGTTACACTAATTCTAATAATTCTGAAATTATTTGTTGATGATGCAACATTTTAAAAAAATGTTTGAAACAAAAGGGGTAGATGTGAAACTTATTTTACAGTAAACATTTATTAAACGTTTAAGCAAGCATAAACTAGTGTATTCATTTAAAGTATTATCAAGCTACATTTCATTTTTTGACCCTCACTACCATCTTTTGATGCAATAACTGTCAGAAAAACTAAAACAAGCATCTTCTTCTGTGCTTCTAATTCATTGAGACCCAACTATCAGAGTTCTCTTACCCTTATTATGAGCATGGCACAATTTGAATCAAATTTTCGTGCACATCCCTTTTTTCTTAGAAAACAGCCACTTGATTTAGAGCCAGCATCTTTTCAGCAGAGAAAAGCAAACAAAGAACTTATTCTCTGTTTACTCCTAGAGAGAAATTAAGCTTCTTTGTTGCCTCTCAAAGGAAAAGTCATGGGGGGGATTACCACTATTTCTACTAATTGTGAGGAAAGCTCAGATAAGCTCTAAAAATGTTTTTTTTTAAGAAATGTAGCTTAAAAGCAAGGCCGGAAGAAGTCATGATACAGCAACTAAAGCTCGAGTGATTAACATGCAATACCACTATGTTGGCTTAAAAGTGTTATACAGTGTTGCAGACACAGTTAATATATAATGTGCAAACATTTCAGGCTAAAATCCAGCAAAGATGGTCTTGAAAGTATATCGTTTTATCGTATAGAGTACTCTTCAAGGACCACATACCGACTTTGTATGCTGCCCGCCGTGGCTCCAAAGTCAGCCAGCCTTTCCTGTCCCTGAGAAAACCCATGTAGTGCAGACGGAACAACATGGTCAGACTGGCCATGTTCTGTGTCACAGATAACAATCCAAAGTGTACCGACGTGACAGGAAAACAACTTCCACAAGCTGAAGTCCTGACGCCTAAACTGTCACTGGGAAAAAAATTCAGGTGCCCCTATCCGACAGAAGTGTCAAATTTGGAAAGTCTTCATTCAAAACAAGCCAAGAACTAAAGTGTGTAACACTGACAGTTTTCATGTCTTGTCTCGGTGTGTAAGAGCTGACAGCTTTCTCTTCTCTGTGGGACTCAGAGTAGTGTGAGTCCTGCTGTGTGTGTTTATAAGCGGACCAGGTCACATATCGGAGTGATCCTGTTGGAATAAATAACTGAGGGGGCTTGTCACCTCTGAGGAGAGGCATGCTTCAAAGGGGGAGTAACTGTTCCAGAGTTATACAAACAAATCAGCAAGTGTGTAGTAGACATACGTAGACTGTTTATACATAGACGTAGTCTCAGTGAGGTCACCCATTGGTGAGTGAAGCAGGTTTTTTTTAACAGATCCACCATGTGATTTTTATTTATATATAAAAGGAAAGACTATTTAAAGACTCACTATATTAACAAAAAGACAAATATCAAAGAAAGAGCTGGTAGTTTTACTTAACATGCAATTGGTTTTGATGCATCAAATTGCCTGTTTTTTTTTTAGGTATGCTTAATATTTGGTTCCCCTCCTTACCCTTTTTGCCCATGCAACCTGAACCTGACTTTTGTTTGTGTCCTGTCTTATTTTTTTCCTCTACTTCATACTTTAAAGCATACATACTTAGATATATCTTATATTAAAATAATATAGAAGTCGACCAGGAAGACTGTGGCCAAACACTGTGCCTTTTTTTATTTGACCTTTACACACTGTCTGACTGTTGCATCCTCAACTGTTACTGCAGCAAAAAGAGGGGGTGACCATAGAAAGACCTCAAGAGAAGTAGTCAGTGTGAGAGGGATTGGCACTATAAAAAAGCATGAAAGCCCTTTTTCAGTGTTGTTGAGCGCCCATGTGCATCTGTCTGCTTGTAAGCCCACAACAGTATACAGTACAGACTCGGTGGGCAGCCCGGCTGAGTCGCATCAACACATCAATGAAGTAGAGAGGAGGAACGCTTTGTACGGCTCAGGGAACACCATTCATCAGCTTCCTCTATCCACACCGAGCTCTGATTGTTCCGCCGTACAACAAAACCAAGCCTATAAACCACAGTGCACCAATAACACTTGACAAGGGGGGATAAAGAGAGAGAGAGAGAGAGAGAGAGAGCATGTTTCTGTGGTCCACTGTGTTACTAACTGCCCCCAGAAGAAAAGATGACAGCAGAGGAAAGAGGAAGGAGAAATAGTGCTGGAGACAACACCACGTCAGCTGTCCGTCATTGGGTTCAGACAGTTGCGGCCCGAAAGCAAAAAGAAGTTAAACCGATGATGTCAGACAGTGTGAGAGATGATGGAAGTTCTAACAAGACTGATATCAGTAAGTTTAAATCTCTGACACTACCTAAAATGTTGCTAGGAGAACTTTACATTCTAGCACAACAACAACAACCACAACAACAACAACAACAACAACAACAACAACAACAACAACAACAACAACAACAACAACATCAAATGAGACAAAAAGAAGAAGAAAGAAAATAATACGAAGAACACGTGTCTTTGAAATAACAGGTAATAAAGTGTAAATGTTGTCCCCCTTTGTACAATTCATTAAAGTATATTGCCATACTGACTCCTATCCCTGAATAATAGAACATATTATATCTCCTCTGATTGAAGTAAACACAATATCTATGAAGTTGTTTGCATAGCTGATGTAAACAATGAGAGATTTTTAATTAGTTAATAGGAATATGTTAAGTCTAAGTCTATATTAAGTCTAACTTTGCATCATTGTCTTATCATCAAGATGAGAGGAATCCTGCCTGCTCTGATGCCACTTTTTACTTTAAAGCCCTGATCATGAAGAACAAAACGATTCTGTCCCCTCTCTATGAACATGGTGGGTGATAGAAACAACACCTAACTTAGGTGACTTTAAAAAAAGATCGCTCAGTGTTACACAAAAAGACAAAGCAAAGGAGATGAATCCGATGTCTGCGACAAAACACACTAAGCCAATACAGCATGTGCACACAAATGTGCCACAAAGGAACAACACTTATTTCATAATGGAACATAGCGCCACCTCACAACATATCTGACGTGTCAGCTAAACCATGACCTTAGCTGACTGCAGCACTAACAGAGCACCAGCTGAGCTCTGATAATAGGATCATTACAAACCTCTGAGACCACCAATTAACATGAACATATGATTAACTTCAAAAGCAGAAAAGTTACAGTCCATGGAATCTGGAATCTGCATTTTGGAAATGCTTGTCACTTTGCTGAAACAGATCATCCAAACAGGAGGCTACATGTAAACACATTTAAGATAAGTAAAAGGACAACAACAAATAAAGGTAAGGTCTAACTTAAACCTTAGTGTCAGCATCCTCCTGCCTCAACTACTGATGGTAAACAGGAAGAACAACAATACATTTATGTAAACAAAATGTGTAATGACTGCCATTCACAGAGTGTAGAATAATAAACAAGGAAGCAAACAAATCCTGCAAACACACCAAAACTCTTATAGCTGGATCTGATTGGCCTTACTTTGTGTGTGTCTTTTGATTGGGAATGTTTGTGTGTGTGAGTGTGTGTGTGTGTGTGTGTGTGTGTGTGTGTGTGTGTGTGTGTGTGTGTGTGTGTGTGTGTGTGTGTGTGTGTGTGTGTGTGTGTGTGTGTGTGTGTGTGTGTGTGTGCACCTGCAGGGCTTCCAGCTTGCTGAAAGCAAGATAGTTCCTGTTTACAAGCTCAGAAGTCAGAGCCAGTTCCCAGAGGAAGACACACAAACAAAGACACACACAGAGCTTTGTGGCAAATTATTGTTTTATAACACATGAGTCATTCTTCGCTTCTTTCCTGCTCTTCTTTCAAACTCTGTCCATTCTGTTTTTATCCTTCTCTCTACCTATTTCTCTTTTTCTGCCCATCATCGTCTTCCAAATCATCTCCTCTTCCTTTGTTAATTTGTTTCTTGCTTTTTCTTCTTGCAAAATTCCCAGTCCCTCACTAGTTCTGTCTTCTCCTTTTTTTTCCTTCCATTCCTCCGTGCATATAGATTTTCAGTGGACTTGGCTTTAACAATGATCACACTTTTTCCTGCTGAATAAACACACATGCACACACAGCAGACAGGGAACTGCAGGACATAGCCTGTCTCCCAACCAGGCGGCTGCTAGTGAATCCCATGGCTCTCCACTGTTATTACAGCCCTGAAAACAACTGGCTTGTGCAAACAGGGAGCCACGGGACTACCGGATGGAATATCTGGCCTACATACACACATATATGCACAAACACCCCAAACGACTGGCTATAGTGGTCACTAAATGTAGCCAAAGAGTTGAGGTAAAGACTTAATTGCATGTGCACAAATGTATGTTTTGCATTTCACATACAACACGTATGTTGAGACGTAAACAAGACGT